CTATAGAACCAACCCTCTACCCATGCATGCATATGTGACTCCATCATCCAGCAACCTGCCACTGGGTTTAGGGCTGGGGTAGGTGATACAGATGAAAAAGAATCAGTTCTAACTCTTAGAGAGCTCATGATTATAATAAAGCCCAATATAGGAAGAATCATAAAATGTCAAATATTGTGGCCAGTGCTTGGGAAGAATACAAAAAGGACAGCCAGGGATGTAATCCCAGGCAAGAGAGATGTAGCATCTTCATGCATTATAGCCACCAGTATCTCTGACCTGCTTCCCCCATGCAATGTCAAACCCTGGAGGACAGAACAGACTATGTTGTCTCTCTCTCTTTACAATTCTTTATAATTTCTAACAGAGTCCAAGACAGTGCATGAATTGCCAAGCACTGTAAACAAAGCATAAAACAACACAACTGACTGTTCTACTGTACAGGGAAGGCTTCTGACGCTGGCCCAGCCTTCAGTGTAAAGCTCCCATGAAGTTCCTCCAGATACTCAGATGTCTATCAAAACTTCATCCATAGAATCTGAGACTATGAAGAAACACAAGATAAGTTCCTGACCATCAAACAGCTACAGCTCATTGTGTGGGCAAGAGAGAAACAGTTCAAGCTTCAAAAACAGGAACAAAAAAAAAAAAAAAAAAAGGAACTTGGCTAATAACCAAATGGTGCAGCATGTCCAGGCCATCCCTGCCTTTAGCTGGCCAGTTCACTAGTCATTAATCTGTCAGCAAAGAGTAGCTAACAGCCTCCACCATTAACCTAATGCTGGGAACCAGAAGACCCCTAAAACTCATAAACAAATGCACCTGCAGAGTTTACCTTAGGGCTAAGGAAGAAAAGACCCTTCAAACAGAGCCCCAGTCAAGTGCCTGAAGGAGCATGATTCTGGAGAACATTGCTGAGGTCCAGCATCAGTCCCCAGCTTTTCTCTGCCTCCAGGACACCTCCGCCCAACTGTTCTGCTCTCATCCCAGCTCAGCACACGCCACGTCTCCCTTCCTTCTCCTTTCACTGCTTTGGTGCAATGTATAACTAACTTCTGCAGCCATCTCTGAAGTGCCATTTGCATCCTCTCCTGCATTCCTGTCACCAGCCCCTCCAGTGTTGGGGTCTGAAAGCAGAGTCTCTGTGATCCATACACTTCCTCATCTCTGCAAGAAGTGATGTCTGTCAATGGTTTTCTGTTGACCATGTCTCTGTCTGACAATCCTGGGACACCCCTTCCCGAGTTTTCAAGACCTTCTTCTAGTTAGCCTGCCCTGCACTGGCTTTGTTTTATTTCCGGAGAACTCGCAGAGTGACAGCTGCATCCCCATTTACCTGTCCCTCTGCTCAAACTGTCTGCCTCCTGGAGTGTCTGTCTCCTCTTGACAATTTACCGCATCTACCTAATGTTTATTACATGGACCAAGCTGAGGACCCAAGGAAATGGGAAAAACACTTTGGGCCTGCCACTTTCCCAGTTCTGTTTTTCTTTAGAAGCTACCATCTCACACAGACACTCCATCCCATGGAAATTCCTTTTGCAGCACCTCCTCAGGTACAATCAGCTTGGCCTTCCTGTACCAGAGAGTTGTTGGTTCAAGAAGCTCTTTTGCCTTCAGCTGAGCAGACAGACTCTTGGCTTTCCAAGCCAGAAACAACAACAACAAAATGGTATTGCTAATGCTACTCCCCTGTTGCTTCTTAGGAATGGTTCTCATTCCCTTTAGAATTAATTTATCAAGCCCTAGGATTTCCCAGAGACGGATGATAGATTTCCTGCACAGAAGACTGCCAAGTTGGGCCTCTGGAGTGAATCCACTGTTCCATAAAACTCTGTTGCTTTCCTAATCACAGAAGGAGCCATGAAATGACAGAAAAGCAGACAGCAGAATGACATAGAAACATCATCTTGTGCCTCCTGGGGAGTGGGGAGATTTCTACAAATATCATCCTCAAACCTCTCCTCCCCAACCCTCCCGAGCCCAGGGTGTTTGTTACTCAATGATAGCCAACCCTTATAAAATGGGAGGAGCTTTAGAAGAGTCTCGTAAAGCAGTAAAAAGCAAGTAGTCTATGGAAACTGCCTCGATCCTCGCCAACAGGTGACCACGATGGGCAAATTCAAGAGGACATAAATACCTCCTGCCACTGGACAGTGTAAGAGGGTTATGGAGTGAGGTCAGCACTGAGAGGGGACCGCTACTCCTTTTCCATTTGAGTAGCACAACACAGGGGAGCTCCCATCTCTACCCTGGCAGGTGAATGGATGGATGAAGTAGCCTCTGCCTTTTACAGTACTCACTAGAGCCAGGGAGAAAACGGTGAAAGCAGGCGGTCACAATGTCACCATCTTGATGAGCTCCAAGAGGAGTGGAGATGAGAAGTAAACTAAAAATCCTGCCTACACTCACGTGTAAACTAAGAAGACAATTCAACATCTTGTCTGCTAGCTAATCAGTGGATCAATCATGATAATTATATCATATATATATATATATATATATATATGCCTTGCTCTACAAAGCACTAGGATCAGCAATTAGTGGGATTCTTAGAGATAACCCAGTTGTGTAAAATGACAGCTGCCACTTACGGAAATGACCAAGAACAGTTCCCAGGTGTCATTTGCTTGATCCTAGTAGAACTAAGGTTGGAAAGAGAAGTAACTTGCCCCTGAGTGAGACACTGAAGTCTTTCTCCTTCTAGAGTTTATTTTCTTAACCTTATAAAGGACATCCTAAATGCAGAGGAGGTGGAAGTCCTCACAACTCAACTCCCTCCAAAGCAAGTGTGTGTGTGTGTGTGTGTGTGTGTGTGTGTGTGTGTGCGTGCGTGCGTGCACAGGAGCACATATTCTGCCACCTCCCCCAGTTACAGACTCTCACCTGGAGGAGGTACAGGTCCACAAAGAGTGCTGGTTTCTCCTCAGGGCGAAGGTCAGTCTCTGTGGGTGAGTGTCTGTCATTTCAATTGCGCCTGACTCTGCAACAACAGTGTGCATTTGACAGGATGCAAGCAAAGCAAGAAGGAGAAGCAGCACCAACTCTGGAGCTTTGTCACAACGGGAACACTTACAGACTGAAAATAATGAGTGAGACTAAATGTCATTTAGCATAATGGCTCATGACATTAAAATAAATGTTCAAGTCGTGAGATTCAAGCACACAAGAAAAGAAAAAGTGGCTGTAGGAAACAGTAAGGTGCAAACAAATGGTGACAGCTTGTGAGAGCTGGCTGCCCTGCTCTCCCAGGCACATCTGACCTGAGTGACAATATGTGCTGCTAGCTGAACAGAGGCCTTCTCCCACAAACTGTCAGTCACTTGGACAAGCAGGGGCATTGGGAACTGCAGCAGGTTTTGGGGTGGGCACACCAGGATGTATGTTCACTCTTTCCTTTTTCCTCTAACTACTAGGAGCCCTGGAGTCTCCCCCCAACCCCCTCAGTCCTCTAGCTTCCACCCACAGAATAAGTTGGTGGGCCATGGCAAAGTTACTGAGATTGCTAAAGTGTCAGTGACAACAGGTCTGGTGTCTGTCTCCTCCAGGTTCTGGAATTATACTTAGATACTCACAGATACCTATTAAATACACCTTTTGGATCACATGATTAGAGAAGATCCAAAAGCCACCTGTGAAGTAAAATCTTGTCACCTTAAAGTCATGAAAACACACATGCATGCAGAAGGATAGCATTTATGAATGATAGTCATACATACTACACCCAGCAGAAATCCCTTGCACAGCTATTGTAATCCTTGCACACAGGCACCCTCCCTTTCTGCCTGTCTTGTCCCATGAAACCGACCTATTCTAAGTTAAGGACCATAGACATCCAAACTAAGCGCAGCAAGCACAGCTCAGAGAGTTAAGTCCTAGGGCCCATGGTGACTAGGTGTCTGGGCAAGCCCTTTATTATGCCTCGACCTCTGCAAAATGGAGATTAAAAAAAATAAAAACAAACAAGAACTCCCCCCCCACCAGCTACATGTCCTCCTACCCTAACTCTGAACATGCATTTCCTACACTCACACCTGATTTAAGTGTGAAGAGTTCTTGACTGTGTATAGGTCTGTGCTGGAAGGCTCCAGGCAGGCAGGCGGTCATGGTCTGTGGAGCAAGCAAACTTTCAGGGCTGTGCTAGGTGTACAGAACTGTGATTGCTGATAGAGAGTGATCCTGGAGCCTGGACCCCAGGTGGGGGCTGGGAGGGGCGGTGCTGGCTGGTGGAGGTGGGCTGAGCCTGGTGGTGGTGGTGGTGGGGGGGGGTTGTTGAAGATGCACAGTTGTGGGCAGCTTCCTCCTGTTGCTCAGTACTGGGGAGAGGCGGAGGAGGATATTGGAGGATATTCATTTGTCTCCTATAAGCAACCACCTATCCTATTGCTTCCCTAACTATTGATAATGAAAAACCCATGGCGCCTCTTAAAGGGGAAGACATGATCTTTGTGTATCACAGTGACTGCTTTAGGACCCCTCATCAGGGCCCTCCTCTGCTAGCCAAACCGCAGGGATCGGCTAGCACTTCTGCACTGGCTTGCCCAGCACTTTCAAGAACCGCAGGCACAAGCCTAGCCAAAAGCCATGAGCTCTGCTCATGGGTCTTTTCTTCCCACCGACTCTGAAGCATGACCTGTTCACAGCCCCAGGTTAGAGGAACCAGGAACACAAGGAAAGTTACTTCCAAAGGGTTGCGCCGGTTTCCGCAGAAAACTACAAGACGCAGATTTCTCGAGTCCTCTCACACCCCACCCATCACTGAAACCTCAAGGCCACCGCTGGAGACCCTGCCACAGAGCTATCATTGGGCAAATGTCCCTCCAACGCACCTAAGTGCAGTGGGGTAGGAGGACGCCCCAAAGCCAGTTCCCAGTCTCGATCGGAAGAGCTCGAGCTGGGGAACCGGCCTCCTGCCCGGCAGCTCAGAAAAATGTTCTCGATTTCCTGCGATCCCCCCACCTTCAACCCCAGCCCTCCCTGCAGGATTGCCCCTTCTCTACCTGCGGCAGTCACAGGCTCGCCCTCGCTCTGCTCTCCAGAATCTGAATCCATACTGTGGGCTTCCGCCCGCGCATCCACCACCGCCCGCCTCTGGGGTGCTGGCGCCGTCGTCCCGGCTCTGGTGGCGGTGGCACACTCTGTATGGACTGCAAAGAGTCTGGAGCCCGGACCGTGCGGAGTGGGCAGTGTGTGGTCAGACACTAGGGCCAGGGGTGGCTCCGCAGAAGCCAAGCCAGCTCCTGTGGCCCGCCCGCCGCCCGCCGGTGCCTTCACGTGAGGGTAGTGGGGAGGGGGGGGGAGCCGGAGAGGGGCGGGAGGGGTAGGATGTAAGGGAGAGGGAAGAGGAGTGTCCAGTGCCCCAAGGCTCCTGGCTGAGATTAAGTAGTCCGGGTTCCTCTACACCCAGAGCCCTGGAATGGAAGCCTGGCAAGGTGGTGGGGATCCTGGAAGACCCAAGTCCCCTTCTTTGAGTGTGCCAAAGTTTGCAAAAATCTTCAGTGAGAAAGTGCCTCTGATCATTAAAAGGGGAGTTATTAGGGTGTAGTGTTGAGAGGCTGCATGCGTTTTAGTTCAACTTCACCCCTTAGACACACGAGTGAAATCTTAGTGTCTCTTTCCTCGCGTGGAAAAGTGGGCAAATGGACTTGCAGGGATATTGTGGGATATATAATGCTGGTTTGCTCCTTTGGGAACAAGCGGCGGGCCTGATGCCTAATGACAGCCTAAAGGACTAGTCAGGTAGCAATAACTCCAGCAGGCCTTGCTCTTGTAGGCGTGGGCGGGCGTGGCCTGTCTAGCTGGTTCTCAGAGCTGGGTGAGGGCCAGCCTGAGCTGGCCTGGAAGGCTGGACCCGCCCTGCCAATCATTCTCCTGTGCCAATTTTTGCCTCCAGCTCAAGAGGCAAGAATTGATTTTAAAACGTTTTCTTTTCTGGGGATATGGCTAGTGGGTAAGAACACTTGGTGTTAGAGAGTGGGGAACTGAATTAAAAAAAAAAACCCTGCATGGCCTCCACAGGCGCCTGTTACTCCACGGAGGACAGCCACAGGACGATTTCTGGGACTTGGTGGCTGTCAGCCTAGCTCCAGGGTCAATTAGAGATCCTATCTGAAGGCAGTAGGATGGTAGAGAATGGTATGGACTCCTGGTATCCTCCTCTGGCCTGGGAGCTGAGGAGGAAACTTTTTTTTTACTGATGGGATTAAATGCAAAGTACTAAACTTTCTCAGCAACCCCTTTCACTTGTATCATCATCATCATCATCATCATCATCATCATCATCATCTAAACAAGAGACCACGCCAGGGAGGAGAAGCACCGAGTGCGAAAGCTGTTGTTAATTTCTGAGTATACATGTCATATTACTTAAACATTCACATAACCCCAAGCCTGCTTTTCTTGAGTATCAACTGCCCACAGTGATGGCAAACTATCGACCTAAGAGAAAAGAAATCAGGAAGAGAGTGCCCACTCAGAGGTGCCAGCTTTCCAGTGTGTCTCTGAGCACTAATTTGGCCAGACTAAGACCCAGGGATGAATTTATGTTGAACCATTTGAAATTTCATTTTGGAGATGGGAAACCACTGGAATTTGGATATTGTATAGATTCAATCTATAGCCATCCCCATTTTACAAATGCAGAATCTGTGTCTCTGGTCCAGTAAGTACACAAGAAAGGACTCAAATCAAGGCTGTCTGGAGTGGACAGGTGCTATTTACACTGTGGTCCAGTGTTACAGGCAGGCTTTGGCCTCTCACCTAGCTGGTAGCCACCTCATTTAGTGAGAGGTGGACCTCACAGAACATCATTAAAGCTCCACTTTATATTCTAGGGGCAAGTTAGTTTTCTGGAAGACCAAACTCACTGGCCTCAGTGATAAAGCTGGGTTTGATGAAATGCTTTTTAAAAGCCCCTATATAAGAAGTGTTCCCTTTGGCAAATGGCTAGCCTGTCCGTCTCCTCCTGTATTAGCATTTTCTTCACAGCCCCCTGTGAAGGAGTAAAAATGATGAGTGTGGAAGCAACTATCTAATGCTGGCACAGCATCAATGTTTGATAAGGGAAAGAACATAAATTCTTTGGTCTAAGGGGTTACATTTAGAAAAAAAATAAACCCCGTTTTTTTTTTAAAAAAAAAAAAGAAAATCAAAGGAGAATGCAAAATTGGGCCCAAATTATGCTCAGAAAAGAAATAGCTGGGTCATTTTTAAAGTTTGCTGTATTAGATTTTATGGTTCAAACCCATAATCCCAGCATGGGAAGCCTGAGACTGGTGGGCACAAGTTCAAGGCCAGCCTGGGCTACATAGAGAATTACAGGTTAGTCCTGCAGGGTGAGATACTGCCTCAAAAACATAACTAGTAAAGAATTTTTAAAAGTTTGCTCTAGACACTTCCCAGAGGAAAATTGTAATGATGACCTCACACAACACATAGTACATTCATTGGGCTGAAGGCATTTGGAATGGGGAGCATGTGTCTCAGTGACAGCCTGTTTGCAGAACATGTCTAAGATTCTGAGTTCAGTCCCCATCACCACAGATCTCTCTCTCTCTCTCTCTCTCTCTCTCTCTCTCTCTCTCTCTCTCTCACACACACACACACACACACACACACACACACACACACACTCACACACACACACACAGCATCTAGGTGGGTCTGTTTTTATTTATTTGTTTATGTGTGTTTCATGGACAAGTGCTCTATGAGAGTTATGTGGATACATTCAACAGCAAAAATGTAACAGGAAACTTCCTGTGCTGAGAGTAACAGAAAAGCCCGGGAACACATATTCCGGACACTTACCTGCCCATCCATCACCAGACCGCCTCTGAATACTGGCTTGTCTGAGCTCAGAGGCGATAAAAGTGCTTGTGGGTACAGCAAAGGAAGAGCTGACCCAAGTGCCTTGGAAAGTCCAGGAGGTGAGTCTTGACATAGTAATCCCTGTTTGGTTAGCTATTCCCAGCCTCATATTTCTGCAGAATGAGACAGATGTAGAATGAAATATTGTATGTGCAATTAGACAACAGAAGCGAGAGATCCAAGCTAAATAATGTCTCCATTCTAGTTTCCTGTGATATGCAATATGTCATCATGGGGCAAGACAAAGGGAACTGATTGCTGGCATTCGAGTTTAAAGAGAAATGTTAATAGAAAACACATTATCTGCACTCCCAGATGGAAAAGACCATGCCAGACAAGTCCTCAAAGCAATATCCCATGACTATCAGCCCATGAAGATGGTGAAATCCAAGGTGCAATTTTCTCTTTACAAACCCTTCCTGGCATTTTTTTTCCTTTAAAAAGAATCTTTGTGAACTGAAAAGGGAAATAGATTTCAGCAGTGCCTCTGTGTATTTTTAGAATAACAGCATCACTCTGCAGGCTTGACTCTAGAGTGGGAGAGTCGCAAACCACCTTCCTCTGTGTTTCCACTACGTCTTTGGAGCCTGGCAGCTCTTAAAACATGGGAACATCTGACTCTCATTGGTCATTTCTTAACTTCAGCAAACAGAATTGTTCACTTTTTAGAGAAACTCCCTATCTGCTGGGGAAAGTGGATCTATATGTAAGGTGTCAAGAAAGAGAAAACAAAGTAGATCGGGTTTCTGCTAAGGCAATAATACTCCTTTAATCCCAGCCAGGGCTATGACTCATCTGCCTGTCTCCTCCTGTGGGATGGAAAGGGAGTGTCTGCAAACCTCTTGACAGCAGAAGGGAGGGAGGCTTCAAGGAAGGTGTTTCCAATGCTCTGACTCTAGATTCAAGTGTGCTTCTCTCCGGGCTGAAGTGGTCTTGACCCAGAACAGGAGGAGTTGTCCAAGACAGCCTCATTATTAACAACCTATCTCAAGGTAGACATAAGGCAGCTTCTGCCAGAACCATCATGGCTCCAGAGGAACTGTTGTTTAAGGGTGGTTTTGTGTTGATCTAGCAGGACAAAGGGGGCTAGAAGACAGCCTTGGAGGAAGGGAGGGCTTTTCACATTTCTTTCTTTTTAGAAAAAATAGGTTTTTATGATTCCCATTCCTGTCAAATGCAGTACACTGTGATTACAGAAAACAGGAAAATATAAATATGTATAAAGGAGGAAAATTTTAAAAAATCCTTAATAATCAACTTGACACACACAAGAGAAAGGAACCTCAGTTGAATATTTGCCTCCATCAGATTGGTGTGTGGGTGTGCCTGCCCACAATTTTCTTGCTTGCTAATTGATGCAGGAAGAACAAGCCTACTGTGGGCTGTACCATCCCTAGGCAAGTGGGAGACATCTATTAAGTAGAGTTCCTCCATGGTTTCTGCTTCAAGTCCCCAGCCTTCTGACGTTCGTTCCTGCCATGGCAATACGGTGAAGTAAAACTTTTCCTCCCAAGTTGCTTTGCAGCATGGTGTGTCTCACAGTAATAGAAAGCAAACTAGCATGCGTGTCTTTTGAAATTTCCCCCTTGTTGGATGTACAGTATTCTGCTTTTGTAGGCTTTGTTTGTTGGTTTTCTTTCGTTCTTTCTTCTTTTTTTTCTGGCAGAAGACTGACAGGGGGCAAGGAAATGAATATCAAGTACATTTTTCCCAGTCCTCTATCCCTGAATCTTGGCTTTCTCCCCTGTGACCTCCATCTTCTATCAGGTGACCCCAGCAGCTAGGCTGCTGCCAGCATCTCCTGTCTTGTGTCCCTCCAGCCCAGAGTGGCAATAGTTGCCTGCTGCAATAGTGTTCAGATTGCCTCACTAGCCCGTTTGACTTCTCCACTCACCTGTTACCTGTGCAACGAACCTCCCAAATTACTGTCCCTTCTTTGAAAATAGATAAAATGCTTTACTAATTAGACTTCATTAGGGCCTAGTCATAAGAATACTGGTTCCTGCAAGATGTATCCTGGTGCACGAAAGGACTTTGGGAGCACGTTTCCCATGGAGGGATACTCCCTTAGCCTAGAGGCAGGGGAGAGGGCCTAGTCTCTGCTCCAAATGACTTGAAAGATTTTGTTGATCCCTCCTGGAAGGCATCACCCTCCCTGTGGAGTGGGTGGGGGGGGAAAGGGATGGGAGGAGGGTCAGAAGGCATGGGAGAGAGGGAGAGGGAACTGGGATTGATATGTAAAATAAGAAAAAGTAATAATAATAAAAAAAAGAAATGGAGCTCAGAATATATACTGAAAACAGATGAATAAAGAAATACAGATTAATTATTTAAAAAGAAGAAGAAGAATGGGCAGAGATACTATGGGAGGCTGGAGCTCCAGAACTTTAGGATTCCTTTAGAGTCACA